ATATATATATATATCTGCTGAAAGTTATAGAACACACAGCTGCTGTGTTCTCTGTCCTGCAAAGAGCTAAATGCAGTTACTAGTGCAACAATATTTTAACCTATGACTTTAAGATTTTTCTGTTTTTATTTTTTCTTATATATACACAGCAGTTTTTAAACTTGACATGAATAGTATTGTAATGCATTATACTTTAATTTGAGACAAGATTGACTCTGTTTCTCATAGTTATTTAAGTTATCCAAGGTGTTGTCAGTACATAATGTGTTGACTTGATTTAAATAGCATGAGAGCAACACTTAGAAATGCATGGATGACTGAAGGTTAGTGAGACTCAGCACTTCACCATGAGAAGCGGAAAGTAGACATAGCGAATCGAGAAACATCGTCCAGCCTTAAGTAACAGCAAATCATCTCACAGCTCATTATTCATCACAGCTCACTATTCAAGGAAGGGCACATTGCTTAGATCCAAGTTATTTCTCTCTGTGTTAGGATTCACCTCTATTAGTTCAGGTCTAAAGGCTTAGACAGTAGATATTGGTTTCTCTTTTCAAACAACCAAAAGAAACATGAAACAAAGCTTATGATATCTCTAAATGACATGGTAAAAAGACTGAGTCACATATATTTCAGCCTTGTTTAAGTGAATATTTGTAATTTGAAATCAAAGGATGCACTGATTCCTCTCCAAAAGATTTTTTTCTTTGGAAAGTTTAGAATTTTGAAAACAGTTTTTTTAATAGTCAAGCTCATACCATCCTAAAGCCACAGAACCAAACAGCAGTGTGATGTATTATGCCTGTGTGGGAAAAGACATGCTTGAAGCTCAACAGTAATTTGGCACACTAGACTTCCATACTAATGTAATGTGACAATGTTATTATGTTTGCTATTTTCCCTGTGATCATAGCCATATTCATCTTCTCCAACTTGACATTAAATTAGCTATTATGGTCAGATTCTAATCTGTGTCACCAGCTGAAAGCAGAAAAAGATAATTCTAGTTTCTTGACAGAGAGCATGTATGCACACATGAATAGGCAGAATATAGATGTTTCATAATGAATGGAAACTCCTAATACAGACTTAGAATATAGTGAACACCAAAAATATAGTTTATAAGGAATTTTACAGCCATCTGCTACTTAAAATAATGTGTGGCAGTAAAACACACTGTTTCCCTTATACCTCAAACAAAGAAATGGTAATACCCAGTCCAGGACAACTAGGAAATTTACGTGGCATGAAACAGTTTAAACATATATCAAATATGAAACTACATTTCTTCAAGCAAAGAAGCAGAGAGGGGTGCATGTCAGGTGGGATGAAAACATCCAGCAGGTGAAGAAATTAGCATGTACAATGGTGAGGAACCTGGAAATATGAGGTTGAGGGTGCCACAGGGAAGGGAATTCCAGAAACACATCCTATGGATGGTGTTCTGCAGTTTCTAAGTGTGGAAATGAGGACTACAGTCAATCCCTGGGGGTTAGTAACTCCAGGCTAATCAGACTAGAATACTGTTGGCTACGGAAGACACACTAGAAATCTCTTTGAAAGCTTCAAATACTCAGTTGCCCTTGTCTTAATAAGTTCCTGTTATCACAAGCAACCTACAGTGTGTTGTACTAACCTCAGACATATGATCCAAACTACAGGAGTTTTTAAAATAAAAAAAAATAGCATTGTTCCCAAGAGAATAATGTATGCCATTTTAGAAAGGTAAACCAAGCATAAACTGTATGTTTGAGAGTAATTGCTAATAAAATTCCTACAGGAATTTAGAGGGGTAAAGAAACCACTTCTTATTGGAAGAATCAATCAGGAGATGTTGGTGACGTTTAAACCAGGAAGAATAAAAGGAGGAAACAAAATGTATTGGAAGAAGGAGGAATGGGATTTGAGCAGCAATGAAAACATTACTATACCAAGCCAAAATAATGATGATCCAAGAACCTGGAATTAGATTCTGTCTTGAAGAAGAGTGGAAAGAGTTCCCCTCCTCCACAACAGCCTACAATTGTTTTCTTAATGAGTTCATCTCTAGGATGACAATTCTCCAAGGATGAAGGGGTTTATAAAAACCCACATAAATTTTAAAATAGCCTCTGGCATCACTTTACAAAGATGCCTGTGTTTTTGAAAGATTCTTTTCAATTCAATTAATTAGTATGATTTATCCAAAATCTTACTTGCAAGTTAAAAAGTATTCCCATCATCCCACTGGTAATTATGTCTCTAGGCTAATATAAATAAAAATGTATAGTTACTCAAATCCACTCTGTAAACTATCTCAGATATATGACACTTAGAAGTTCTACTGGGGGCAGGGGTTCTTGTCTCCACATAGTATGGTTTTGTTTTTTATATTGAAATATTTATTTCCATTTTCCTTTTGAGGGATTATAGACAGATTATGGATCAGTCACTGAAATAGGAATAAATTATAGATATTTTTAAATGAAATGTGCCTGTAAATAGTATTGTTTATCTACAAGTCCTCATCATGGGAGAACACCAACGTTCAAACTATGGGAACACTTTGCATTTCCATTAACCTAGTATAAAGTAATGAATTTATCAACATGCATGTATTCTGAGAACTCTCAAACATAATTCAATGCTGATTCGTGCAAGAGGCATATCAGGAAACAAATTTATTGAATGACATTTACCCATTTACAAGAAAATAACAACTAGCCTTATGGCCATCCCTAATTCTGTCACTCAAGAGCTGCATTTAAATACTTTCTGCAAAAACTAATTTGAAGACAGTCTGATATCTAAGGTCAGATTTCATGGTCCTTAGGAAAAGCCTAACAAACACATATAGAAAATTGTATTCTTCATATTCACTGGTGTACGGGATGCACAGTCTGACACAACCAAATAGCAACTGTTTTGAAAAACATGGGGAATGGCTTAGCAGAGTTTGGCAGAGAATGTTCTTTAGCAAAATGAAAAAATATTTTCATACCAAAAGCCCTCTCTACTAACACATGTAGTCATGCATCTGTCAAGATTGAATTCAGGATTGAAATTTTGCAATAATAAAATCATAACAAATTCTCAGTCTTCTGGTTGTCCTTGAAAGAAGGTTTACATCATTTTGAACAGGGGCAAATGCAGGCAATCACTGGTCTACAGATAAACACATGTTATTATTCAAACATTTGTGAGAGTTCTTTAAAATCATCTTTGGTTTTGTATATGTAAATGTGCGCTGACTTTTTGTATGAGGTTATTTATATAACTCACAAAAGATTGTTCTTCAGAGTAATTTGATTTGCAGATATAAGGTATATGTAAATGGATGATTATTTCAATGTATTTTTATTGCTTCTAGCTACTATATACTAGAGAAGATGATCCTACAAAATCAGGGGTCAGATATTTCTGCATTCCTGGTGATTTGACCATGAAAGATCTTTTAAAATAATTATTTTTTATTATTTAACATTTTCATTGTATTTGGTCATATCTTCCCCGCACTACTTCAATCCAAATGCTCTGAGGAACCCCCAACTTGACATCCGTTCATCTTTATGTCTTATTATTATTAACCATGAGTCCAATTTTTGTTGACTGTATACATATCGGTGTATTAGTTTTTAAAGTATTGTTAACCTTTTTACAATATTTTTTCCGTGACAGTTTCATAATCATATAATGAATCTTTGTCACTCTCAAACCCATTGTCATTTCTTACCCACTGCTGGAACTTTATTTCTTTTCAACAATGTCCTTCCTACTTTCATGTGTATACAGCTCCGTCTACACAGCATTAAAAGGAAGATTATTTACTGTAGTCCAGGTAACTTGTCCAGGGTTATACACTGAAGAAATATAATAAGCCCTTCCCTTGGCCACCATTAAATCCCAATGATCTCTCAGGGAGGTGTGGTATATTATATGTTTGCTTTATGCTTTCTATAATCAATGCTTTGGCAGAAACCCAAGAGAGCTGATGAATTGTACTATATTTGCAGTTTGAAACCATTTGGTTCCATGATTTATTTTAATTTGATCCTACTTTTGAAATTGTTATCCAAATATTTTCTGACAAAGAAACAAAAACAAAATGAAAAGGAAATAAACAAATAAAAAGAACCCAAACTCTAAGCTATCTTTAAATGGAAAGTCAACTTTGGCCCCTTCTCTATAACCCGAATCATCAACTATCACATCCTTTCCCCCGTTTTTCTAGAACGTTGGCATCCATGCTGTAGGCATGCATATAGGCCACTTAACAAATATGACACTTCATTATGGACACCCTAAATATATAGTCAAAGATGTTTTTATAATCTCAGTAATGTCCTATGAAGCAAGACCAGTGTGAAAATTCAGTAACCAGAATTCACCTGTTGACCAGCTAATTCTGCCTTGAACTGTCCAGAGTCTGATGCAGACCCCTAGAGAGGGCTCTGAGAGAATGCAAGGTCCACCTTTCCTGTCATGCAAATACTGTGAGATTAAAGTGGAGAATTCAAGTAGATAAAAGACAAGAAGGAGGTCTTGAAGAGCAATGATTAAACATAGTGTTTTTAAAGTGAATGAGGACAGAATGGGCTTATTTGAGAGGATGTAGAAAGATGGAAAAACAAAATTTCTAACATGCACAGAAACCAGAGTCCTCAAGATATGATCTGATAAACTTAAAATCTACATAGTACAAAGCAATATGAAGTTTCAAAACTTTGCCAAGAATCCCATCTATAGGAAATTAACAATGTTCTGTCCAATGAGATAGCTATAAGTAACTAACAAAAGAGAATTACAACACTTAAAAATCAATCACCTCTATTAAAAACTCATTTAGCTTAAAAACAGCTCTGAAAGTAAAATGGGCTATTTTGTGTGTGAAAACAACTGAAGGCCACATCTTTAACAGTCCAATTACAGGAGATATAAGAATTCATATTTTTATACCTTGTGTAGCAAATAGTATCCAGACACAAGAACAAGTATCTAGCTATACTTGGACAGTTACTCACGGTCATTGCAGAGTGGGCCACTGAAGGAAGTCATGCTACAGTCACAGCTGAAGCCATCCCATTGCTGCAAGCACACGCCTTGATTTGAACATGAGTCCTCTTGGCAGGTTGTGCTGGGTCCTGTAAAACATTCCAAAAGACATGTAAGCTCTTTTGGTTCTTGTTTTTGTTGTTTGTTTGTTTGTTTTTAAATCCAGACTGTTCTTTACATGAGCTAGATCACATATAGTAGTTGCCAACACCTTAAATTACATGTTCAAGCTAGTTTTGAAAGTTCACACATCTGGATTAGGATCTGAAAAGTTTAACATGAAGGCCTTCTTAAGCTTCAAATAAAAGAAAAACACATCATAATTGTAACTAAGCCAACAGATATTTAAAGGAAGTAAGTAGTTTCTAGCAGAGTCATAGTGGTAGCAGGTAATCTCATTCTATCATTAATGACTGTCTGTCACCATTTGGTCTTAGAAAATGAATGGATCTCCTTAACTTCTTACCAATGAATAGAGATGCCATGAGAAATGGAGACTGTAGGATCATGAAATTGAGATAAAGATTCGTAAAAAATAATCAAACAAACTCATGGAAAAATGCCCTATGAGATCCAGCCGCTCCCACGCATACACTACGGCTGAGGTCATGATTTCTTAGTGCTCTGAATAGGTATGTTGGCAAGTATCAATTCACATGCTTTGACAATATCATGCAAGTAACATAAAATGAATAACAAGGTAAGTGGCATGCCCGTCGGACACACATGTAAAAGAAATGCTATTCTGTCTCTAAAGAATTATAACTAAACATTGAAAAACAAAGACCAGAAAGGTGTGATCAGAGCACTAAAGGCAGTAACTGTACAAACATGTCCAAGACTGAAAGCCTTTATGCAAATTATGCTACAAAATGGGGCTTCTTGCACAATGTCCAAGAAGGAGAAAATAAAATCTGAACCCAAATAACAGTTACTAAAAAGTATTAAAACCATGTTATTTTAGGGTTTGCATTGTGTATGATGGGGTTTCAGTCTTGTTTTATACATACAGGGCTATCTACCTTGCAAGTCAGCTTTCATCAATGCAACTTTGTCAGCAAAATTAAAAAAAAAAAGCAAAATATATTTAATGTTAGTAAGCAATATGGAAATGGGGCAAACAGAATGTTTAGATTCAAAAAAGCATGCTGCTATAAAGGGAAAAATGCTATGTAGAGCAAATAAATTAATATCAACAGCCATAAACCTTAAGAGAAGCCAAAAAATGAGAAAGCACTGTAATTTTTAGAAGCTTACGCTATATGTGTGTATATACATGTCATGATTAATCTAGCCAATGGCACATGAGGGACAACTTAAAGGACTTTTGTGATCCTTACTCTCCTGCATAGATTTATTTTTTAAGTGACTTACTTATTGGAACATGCACTATTCTGTGTCATGTGTACATACATTGCAGATTATGGTTCTTACACAGAAAGGACTTCTTTGCGGGCTTCTCCCTCTCTATTTGTGAAAACTGTCATTCACAACTCTTGACTTAAAAATAGTAATTTATTAATTGCCCTTAGCTCTGCTTTGTTGCGATGCCAAAACACCAGAATTCATGTGTCATTTGAAGTGGTTGAAAAAATCATAAGGATGGTAGAAACAACCTCCAATATAGTTCTCTTTAGAGAACATTCTTTCTCTAAGATTCCAAGATGTCATGCTCATTGTCACTCTTAAACGGATGAGTATATGTGATTTATAGATTTTAGAGTGTTCTTGTTATTGCCTACACCTTCCTACTGTCTTTAGGTCTAATAAACTTTCATGTGAATAATTATTACAGAAAACACAAGAAAAATATTTATAAAAAATAAAAGGGGACACAAGCATATAATTCATTTAAAATGTAAAACCAAAAATTTATCATTTATGGTAATAATAATTACATAGTTTCTTTAAAAAAAATGAAAGCAGACTTCAAACAATGATGATGGCCAATAAGACCACAGTTCAGTGAATAAAATTTTTTTCTGTAGTTTTTACATATAGCCATGATTTTATCAAATGGAATTTAATATGTATCATACAAACATATGTATGTTATGACTTTCTCAGTAAAGGCATTGTTCACAGGAAATTACTAAAGTAATTCTAACTAATGTGTACTTTTACAAATATATGATCTATAAATCCCGATTATGTTATAAAAATTAGTGTTACCAGATAACAATTAAAATACTAATAGTGTTATAAGTAACAATGGCAATAATAATAATCTTCCAGGAGAACTGAATATATGATTATTTCAACTTAAGCATGAACTACTAACTTGCTATTGGTTGTATTCCAAACATATTTGAGTGGTCTACAGATTAATAGCCCACAATGTTAGATAATAAAAGCAGTATGTGTCCATTTAAAGAAATATAAATTTCTTGAAACAATCATCATTGGCTATTTCTTCCCCAGATGAGAATCAGGTATAAGGGTGTCTTCTCTTATGGAGAATCTGTTTTATCAAGTAGTTATTTACTTTCTGACTGTCATAAGAACAGAGAAAATAGGATCAAGAACCGAAGGTGCCCTATTTTTATTAACACAGAAGTTAAGTTCCTCCTTTCTGAGGAAGAGTTAAGTTCCATGAGAGAACTGTCTTTGAAAGAGATAGTACTTTAGCTATGTCTAATTTAATTGCTAATTCTAAAACCATGTGAATCTCATGAATTACACCTATGACAAGTTTTGTTATGAACTTATTCTGAGAATAGAAATGGCCAAATTAATTTCAGAATGAAATCATTAGGGAAAGATGATATCAGAAAAACAGGAATGTGATGATATTCCTAAAGCAAAGGAAAATATGAGAAGAAATGAGAATTGTTAAGGACGAGATATTTAAAGCTTCCTCTCTACATGTGCAGACTACTCCAAAAGCTACCACAATGAGTTTAAATATTTAGAAGCTAATTTAAGGCCATTGAAGAGAAACCTATAATTAAGTAGCCTAGACAAATTGCCTACTAAATTAAGTTGGAACTAGCAGCAAGTGTTATTACTATAAACATTTGGTAAGCAATCTTGCTCCCATTACCCTCCCTTCCATCCTTCACTAAGAGAATGTGTCAGGGTGAGGTCCTTTGTATTTGTGACTTTTCTGCCTTGTGGTTGGTGAGCTGTCTCTTTCAGAAAGCACTTGCCATAAAAACTGCAGGAAGGCTTACTTTTGAAAAGTAGTATCCAAAAACTGTAGTAACTTTTGCTTAAAATATACATCAACAAATGACCTAGTCTCACTTATTAGACCATTCCTAAGTAACAAAAATATATTTCAAATTTTTTTGTTCTCCCCCTAAGGACATTTTATTTGTTTAGTAATTGTGTTTCCTAAACAACATGAGAAACCACATCGCCTTTTTTTTGTTTTGCAAATGTTATGTCAAAATTTTTAAATAAGTAAATAAATAAATAAATAAATATGGTGATGACACTAAAATGATTTTGAAAAAAAAAGGGCTTCCATTAACACTCCTACTCTCTTTAATTATTTCCACAACTTCAATTTAAGTTAACTTTTGAAAGAAATAGATACTTTGGAGAGAGGAAAATTGATTTCAAATTTAAAAGTTTCATAGACTTAGGTAATTGCTAAATATAATGATGTTATTTTGGCTAAGAAGAAGTGATTCATAATCTCCTTAATAAGAGAACTCACATTTGGTTCTTCCTTTTCACTCATACAGCATTCCTTATAAATCTAAAATTTCAAAATGAATCAAGATATGTTGAACATTAAAAGAGAAATAGTAACACACACAGAACCATATAATTCTTGATAATGTGACTGAATTACACTTATGGAGGTAGAACTGGCTCAAAAAAATGTAGGTGTTGAAGTTAAAATTACCTAAAATGAAATCAGCCATCAAAAAAATAATTCCTATACATCTTGATCTGATAGAAAGCATAAAAGAAACGTAAAAAGTGGAGAGCATTTCTGAAGCATTGTACATTATCCCTGGAGAATATAAGAAATTTATTTTTGGCAAAACAGATAATATATTGCTTGCTATCAGATACATAAAAATTAAATAGTGATCTGAGACTGGATATCTGGGCCCTATTCTTCATTTTCATCTCATTGAATGTAAAGTATCAGGAGCCGTAATGGGACAAGCTAATAACTAGCAGGTGATCATCCTGAAATGGCTTGCCTTGGATTATATAATCTGCAACGAGTGAGTCCTTATTCAGCAAGGCTGTAAGGAACTCATTTTAGGAAAGATTTCTGCTATTAATAGGCCTTTCCTATTATTATTAAACAATTATAACAAGCACTAAGTAATAGCACAGTCTTCGGATCATATCTCTGCAGATCCACGAAGATGTACTATCTTCTAGTGATGCTATATAGACGAATAGATGATTTCTTCTGTCTTAATGATGATCCTATAAGAATTCCTAAAATTATATTAATGATTATTAAGCTCTTTTATAGTGGGACTGCTATTAGGTCCCTTTCTGATAGTCAAAACTGCAATGAGAACTCTGCCAGTCTCCAGAGTGTCATCAGCTAATTGCTCTTAGATAGTAACCAGACTTTCTCCTACTTAAAGCACATTCCAAGAGGCTGTAAAACAATTAACCAAAGATCATAATAAGGGAACGAACAATTTATTATAGGTGCTAGGACAGAAGATAAAATGTTGCCTGGGTTTATCTATACAAAACTTCACTAATAACTTAGTTATAGTTTTAAACCTTCAGTGAACCTGTGAAGCTAGACAGGTGATGGATGTTTAGACAGATAATTACTCCTAATGGATATGCATGTAAATATTCTCCATTGTAAACTATTATTTTAATTTATGATTTGATTTTTGGTGTGAACTTGTGATGAACTTTGTAACATGTGATCATGTATTTGGAAAGATGTATGAGTACTGAGGACAAAGAGATGAGAGGCAGTTAGAATAGAGGGATAGAATTTTTTCCCTTTCCCCAGATAGAGTAGAATTTCTCCCTTTTCCCAGGTACGATCTTTCCAGTTTCCCCCTTAGATAGCTTTCATAGGAACTTTTAACAACTTAGCAATAACCACATCTCTAAGTGTCTTTTTTTTCCTGTGATTTCCAACTAGCAGGATGAAAGTTAAAGCCCAGCAGTTCTTGCTGAAATAGAACAAAGTCCACATAGCCTAATCCTCTGCTGTTAGGCTACAGGTGTTAATCACCTAAGCCTGCAGTCTCTTACCCTCAGAAGGAGCAAGAAAATTTTAGGACATTTTTAGAAGTTATCATCAGCATTTCAGTACAGGCCAGAGAGCCAGAAAGTCCAGAGACACTCAGACTTTAAAGCCATCACCAGAGTCCTACTCTGTGCCCCCGCCACTACCCTCTCCAGGCCAGGAGGCTCTCTCTTGGCAGTAAAGTTTTCAAAATGGATTAAAATACATTATAATTACTGGATAATTTTTTTCTATTTTAAATGGGTATCTGATGCGATAATTATAGCATTATAGAGATAATTCATATGCTTTTTATCCGAATTATTGTCTTCTAAGGAGTAATGACAAGGTATGTAGTCACAGCTCCTATTTACATTGAACCTTAGCATTTCCTGCAAATAATCCAGAAAACATATGGAATAAAATATTCAAAGCATGAATAAGAATTTCTAAGCTCTAAGTGAAAATGCTGCTGGCTAGCAGAAATTTTGCTGGCTGGTGAGGAAGGTTGTTTTAATTAAATTTATATTTTAGTTGTATTGTGTAGTGTAAAAACAGATATAGTACCTTCACATCCTCTCTCAATTTGCCCATTGCAGAAAAGAGCATCAGAGATGAGATCTGGAAGCCTGCCATTCAGGTCCACAGATGCCAGGCAACCTTGAAAGCCTTCTTTGGCGTGGACCAGTTTCGGCAAGGATTTGTATGTTTCTTTAGCCACTCCTCCAATATACAAGTCACCTGTGGAAAATCAATTTAATTACCACAAAAGTATCTCAGCATCAACTTTCACCACACAGTATGATGAGCATAACAAAAGACATGGTGTTTATTTTATATTAAACGAACACGTTAAATGTATGACCTACTTTATACTTTCTTAAAAATACAAAATAATGTAACATTTGAATAATGTATTAGCAGCTGACATTTTTCGAGATGTTGCTAGCAAAAGCACTGTATGGATTCACTAGGGTGCCACTGAACAAAAAGAGTGTAGCCAAGGGGATGAAGATACCTGTACAACATTCAACCCAGGTATTAAGTAACAATAATCTGAGGCAGTTTCTCGAGTTATCAGAAAGTCTATTTTTAATACTCACAACAACAAAATCTATCCTGTGTGTTGCTTTGAGGAACAAAATATGTGACATTTAGGGATCCCCTACCACAATGAAAATATGTAATAGACAAAGTGAAGGGCGTTATTATAAAATAAAACTTCCTTGGGGCTCTGAGTCTTCCTGTCTTTTCTTAATTCATTACCAGAATCTGCAAGGCTTTACTGATTAAAGTCATATTCTGCACTATCATTTTGTTTGTTTGTTTTTTGTTTTCTTATTTTTTTGAAATTATAGTATACTTACATAATCTCCCATATTTGGTTACCTCCTTCCATCCTCTGTTGTGTATCCTCCTGCTCCCTTTTGAAATCATGGCCTTTTTAGTTGCTATTGTTAAAGACACACATACACAAACACACACACACAAATCCCGTAACCATATATATAGAACTTGCTCATTCTTTTAATGCTACTTGTTATGTATATAATTTCAGGGCAAAATAAGGCTCTGGATCAATCAGGGAGCTCATCTCTTGAACAAACTATTTCTCTTGCTCTTTTTCTTAGCTTTTTTAATTGTCTGCAGTTGTCATGGGCAGAGCTTTGTATGATGTCTGCCTTCCATATTGGTATGTCTATTGCTGCTGTACTTTTTCACATCTTTTTCAGGCAGCCATGTCATTGAGGTATCATGGAATTAGCTTCCTTGTTATTTTAAGAAACACAATGTCACAGCTTTCCCTGTTTTTTGGGGGTGGGGAGAGGGCTCTTCTGCCACCTCTTTCTCAGTGTTGCTTGCATCTTGGGTGTAGAATTTTTTTTAGAGAAGTATTATTTGTGGTTAGGCAGCCTATACTCTTTGTTCTTTGTCTTCAACAGTTGTAGTTTTTTGTCTTTCAGTATCTTCTTCGCTGACTCAACCCTTTTATAGTCTAACTTATGTAATTCTTCACATGTTTCTGTACTAAGTTAAAAACAACACCACTTTTAACTCTGTGCTACTTTAGAAATTTTAAAGAAGTTATTAATGTGTGTCCCTGATTCTCCTGTAGTTTTAAATGGAACATTTTGCTTAGCTTTGCTGTCTATGGGCTCCTAGGTTTAGGTTTCTTCAACTTTGCAAGCAGTATTGGAATACCTGGTTTATCCAGTCTGCAGATTACTCACAGTGACCAGATGATACTTAGTCAATATAATTAGTGAGTTCAATATACAACATAAGGAGGGTGACCTCAGAATTCTGTAATCTTCAGCTACAGACTGCAAGTTCTGCTGACACACATCTGTCAGCTACTTGTCTAACTTTTCTGCCCATGAAATGTCTCTTTTGCCTTAATCACCCTAACAACATGACACTCAGTATAATTTTACCAGTATCAAAAAAATGTGCGCAATTATAATGCTCACCTAGGCTGCTGTGCTGTCCTTATGAGATTAAGAGCAAGAACTGGTATTCACAGCATTTCTTGAAATGTAGTAAGGAAATCATACAGACAGTTTATGTCCTATGCCAGTGTTCAAAAAAATCATAAGCTAAAATACTAGATTGTAAGGACAGTAAAATAAAGCCCCAAATCTGACACTCTGAATTTTGTTGGTGAAGATATTGAGAATGAAAGTATGTAGCTTTATCAATATCACAAAACCTCAAGAACTGAAAACCTGCCCTCTTGCTCTACAAAAAAAGAAAAAGAAAAAAAAGCTGTTTTCATTAAAACAGTGTACCATGTACCACTGATATAATTTGTGCAGAAAGTATTGAATGTTCTTTTCTCCTCTCTCCTAAATGACACTGAGTAAGGCATCGCCCTTGATATTTAAGGATAGCTCAGTGCTCATTTTACAATATTAATTTTGTAATATTATGTGATTATTTTCTTCCTCATTTCCATTCTCTCCTTTGTCTTTTCACTCACTTCAGTTTCAAGCTGTTATGTTTTAGATACCGCAGAAAAGACATGAGTCATAAATCAAAGGCATAAAATTACCTTCCTGCACTTGACTTCTCAAACTTAGATTCTTCTAGGAATGCAACGAATATATCGGCATTTACATAAGGAAAGTAAAACTTTCTTATACTGCAATTGGGCAAGCAGAAACTATAGAAGCATAGTCTTGAATGTGAAGCTATTGAGGAGTGTCAAAGAGAGGGCACTGCATTCTAATTTAAAAGCCAACCCCTGCTGGGTATCAACACTGCAGGTAGATTTAGAAGAATAATGTAGATGGAGGAGGTTTCCTCAGAAGAACCCAAAAGCAGAAGCAAGATCCTTGTGGGTGAACACTTTCATGATAGATTTAGCTATCTGGAAGTTTATACAGCTTCATAGAACATTCCATTCTCCACAGCACTGTGGGAGCAGTGAAACAGTTTCCAGATGCCCCAGCAATAGCAGACCAAGTTTGACACAGATACATCCCATCACAAGAATATAAAAGCTAGACAGCTGTTCAGTAGGCACCTGGATGGGGACTGTAAATATCTGAGACCAATTCTCAAGTTTCTCTTTTATCTCTCTACTTTCCTAAAGATTGGTATAGTGGGAGTTTCTGATAGCCAACACTGTAAATTAGAAATTACTCAAGGGAAAGAAGGAAAACAGAATTTTTCAGGTTTTCATTATCATTAACGTAAAGAATCACAGCCCAAAATAGAAATCAAGAAGAATTAGAATAAGTAAACTGGAAACACTTTCTTTCTTGAATACTGGAGAATATTGGCTGAGGTTTATAATTTAGTGTATCTAATACCAATATAATATCACCGGAAGAATATGCTCCCTACACTCATTCACTTAACTAAATTCTTCAGGGTGCTTTAATTCTTGTTTAGGACCAAAGACAAAGTATTAGATAGCAATGTGGGACTGAATAAAAAATTCTTAGCACTGTCTTTAGGTGCTTTAGATACAGGACTTAAGAATGAAAATTATAGAAGTAATGTTGGACATAGCTATGCTTCTTTCAGAATCCAATTTCCTGGAAGTTGCCTAAGCCTGTATGGAGGACAAACAGTAAATGCTATTATATACTCTATAGGTTGAAATTATACAGGGAAATAGTCAAGAGAAATAAAAATGGTAAAGCATTGGCAGGGAGGTGATTCTAAAGAAGACACACTTCTGTTCCTTTCTGCCTTCTACCATGAGTCTTGTATCCTTGCTAGTAAGCTTTTTTTGCCTGATTGCTAGTGGAAGAAAAGTAGGAATCTTCCTTCTGTGCTACAAAGAGCTGAAAACATCACATTAAAAACAATTCAGCGTCTGATATGAATCTCACACATTCTAACTTGGGTGGGTCAGTATTTATAACCCTGGGGAAATTCTCACTTTACTGAAGCTGCACTTAGCTCCCCCACAATTAGTATTGTCTGTATAAACTTTTCATATGCTAGAGAGTGGACTTGAAGTTCCCTGGTGGACTTCCATATAAAGAGAACAAAGGAAATGCTTAAGTGGGCTCAGCCCTGTGTACATTACCACCTCATCAAAGATGCAGCATATCCTTTTGATCCTTGGAGAGATGGAAGGGAAATGACCATTAGCTCTAATGGGTCTTTGCAGGTAAAAGTCTTGTGCTTACAAAGGAGGATACGCTTCTTAATGACCCACTGTGTGAACAGGGTCGGGATGGACATCCATTAAAAGCCAAGTTTTCTATTCCTATGTAGTTGAGTAGGACCTGTTGCCTTCACCTTCCCACCATCCACCATATTGACTGGATGTTTGCACTCCTGTCCTTATACAGAATGGGCCATATACAGAAAAAGACAGAGCTCGGACATTTTCAGCAAATATAGTGGCAAACACGTATCACACGTAGCCAGGCACCAATATAGGGGTGTGGTAAGATTCTTAAAGAAATCTCAATAGTATCCTAATATCAAGAACCATAAACACAGAAGCACTAAGCACCTCTCAGTACCATCTGAAGAAAGCAAGAGTGAGTGACTAGTCCCTAGTATCTGCACATGGATGAGTAAGGAGAAATTGTGGGCAAGCTTTGTAGTTATAAAAGCTCTGACTCTGTAACTCACAGGTATCCAGAGTGTAAACTTACTAAATTGCATTACTTCTTTGGCAGTAAGATAGTTCCTTTGTCGAGTGGAATTAATGATGCCTACCTTAGGAACACTGAGGATTACAGAGAACATTTGTATGTATTTAGTATATATCTTGCAAGGTACATGGTGTATTCCTCATTCTATGCTGATTCCACTGGAAATTCAGACACAAGTCAAATTTGTTCCCATAGAGTGACACATGTCAGGCTTGCACTACTTCCTGAAATTTATTTAATTTGATCATGTTCATAGACATCAAAATGTTTGAAATGTGACTTCTGTGATACTAACAGAGACGAGGACAGAGGATCCTTTTACCTATCTAATTTGAAACCAAGTTGCATAGAACCTTAAAAAAAATAAAAAATTTTGCTTAACAAATAGCTTCTAATTTAGACATATGAATAGATTAAAAAAAAAGCATTTTATGAAGGCCAAGAGACAATATGTAGATTCAGGCTGAATGCTTCTTAGACAAGGAGAGAAATAAAAAGATTTGTGTGACCTTTCTATGGTGGGACATTGTGGGAGAGCTGAGATCAGAAGGTATAGAACACATTTTACAAGGATATAAATGTAGATGCAAGGCTTTGGGTGCAGTACCAGGGCACTGT